ATCCACTCACCTCAGCCTCCCAAAGGCGTGTGATTACAGGCTGAGCCACCGAGCCTGGCTCTTTTACTCACTTAAAAAAAAAATTTTGTTTTAAAGAAGGGGACAATTCAGGGCTAGGTATACAAATGGTCATGGTACAGGTAAAGTTTGAGTCTCTCTTTGGCCCACACTTCATCTGGCTTGAGATCAGGTACCCTGATTAATGAAGTGTGTCCCCCCTTTACTCCCTTGGCAGTTTCCCACTACTGACAATCCCTTTCTTATAGTATTACGATAATTGTTCAGGATCCACTTATGAGTGAGAACATGTTTCTCACTCCTATTTCTGTGACAGATCACTGAATATTATAAACTCTAAATCCATTCAAGTTGCTGTGAAGCTCATAATTTTGTCCTTTTTTATGGCTGTATAATATTTCATTGTGTATATGTACATTTTAAAAATCCAGTCCACTTTTTATGGGCAACATGATTGGTTCCATGTTTTTGCTATTGTGAATAATTTTTCCTTACTTTTTAAGAGGGCTATTTGTTATCTTCCTTTTTTAGTACATTTAAGTTCCTTGTAGATCATGGATGTTAGGCCTTTGTCAGATATACAGTTGGCAAATATTTTTTCCCCATTCTGTGGGCTGTCTCCTGGCTCTCTTGATGGTTTCTTTTGCTTTGCAGAAGCTTTTCAGTTTGATGAGGTTCTACTTGTCTATCTTATCTCTTATGGCATGGGCATTTAGAGTTTTGATTGGGAATTGGTTGCCTATTCCAATTTCCATAAGAGTGCCTCCCACATTTTCTAAGATTCTTACAGTTTGAGGCCTTACGTTTAGGTCTTTGATCCATTTGGAGTTGTATATGGTGATAGGTAGAGGGGTAGGGATCCTGTTTATCGCTCTGCAAATGGTCTGATAGTTTTCTCAGCACCATTTACTGAATAGGTTCTCCTCTCCTCAGTGGTTGTTGCTGGAGGCTTTGTCAGAGATGAGTTGGTTAAGAAATTGAGATTTTGCTTTCAGAATATTTATCTTGTTCCATTGGTCTATATGGCTGTTCTTGTACCAATACCAGGCTGTTTTGATTATTGTAGCCTTATAGTAAAGTTTAAAGTCTGGAAGTGTGATACCTCCTGCTTTGTTTTGGCTACTCATGGTTGTTTATGTTTTCATATAAATTTCTGTGCCATCATTTCCAGGTCTGAGAAGAATGATATTGGTAATTTAATGGATATTGCATTGAATCTTAGAATGCCTATGGTAGGATGGATGTCTTAGCAATGTTGATTCTTCCAATTCATGAACATGGTTTATTTTTCCATTTATTTTGTGTCTTCTGGATTTCTTTGAGCAGTGTTTTTTAGTTTTCATTGTCAAGGTCTTTCATTTCTTTGGTTAGGAAGATGCTGAAGTATTTCATTTGTTTGTGTGTGTGTGTGTGTGTGTGTGTGTGTGTGTGTGTGTGTGTGTGTGACTATTGTGAATGGGATGTTGTTTTTGTTTCTCTGCCTGTTTTTTATTGGCGTATAAGAGTGTGACTGTCTTTGCATGTTTATTTTGTACCCTGAGACTTTGCCAAAATCCTTTGTCAATGCAAGGAAGTTTTTGATAGATCTCTTGGATTTTCAAGGTATAGGATCATATTGTCAGCAAAGAGGGGTAACTTCCTTTTTTCCTATTTGGATAAGCCCAATTTTTTTCTCTTGTCTGATTGCTCTAGCTAGGACTTCCAACACTATGTTTAATAGGAGGGGTGAGAGTTGGCAGCATTGACTCGTATCAGTTTTAGGAAAAATGCTTCCAATTTTTGCCCATTTAGCAATATGTTGGCTGTGGGTTTATTATAAATGGCTTTTATAATTTTGAAGTATGTTCCCTCTATGCCTAGGTGTCCAAGGGTTTTTATCAAGAAGGGAAGCTGGATTTTGTCAAGAGCTTTTTCTGCAAAAATGATATAATCATGTGGTTCTTGTTTTCACATCTGCTGATGTATTGAATTACATTTATGGTCTTGTGGATGATAAACAGCCCTGTATCTAGGGGATAAAGCCTACTTTGGTGGACGATTCTTAAGATGTGTTGTTGAATCTGATTTGTTAGAACCTTGTTGAGAATTTTTGCATCTAAGTTCATCAGGTATATTGGCCTGTAGTTCTCTTTGTTGGATCTTTACCTGGTTTGGGTATCATTGTGATGTTAGCTTCATAAAATGATTTGGGGACAGTTTCATATTTCTCGATTGCCTGGAATACTTTCAATAGAATTGGTATCACCTCCTCCTTGTATGTTTTGTAGAAGTCCCCTAGAAAGCTGTCAGACAAGGGCCTTTTTTTTTTTTTTAACTAGTTTTCTTAAGACGGAGTCAAATTCCTGGGCCATTGTTGGTTATTTAGTGTCCCACTTTCTTCTTGTTTCAACACTGTGAAGTTGTGTGAAGTCAGAAAGCCCTCCATTTCATTTAGGTTACTGAGTTTGTTTCCATACAGCTGTGCATAGTAATCTTTGATAAATTTTTGTATTTCTTTGGGGTCAGTTGTGATCTTTTGCATTTCTAATTGTGTTTATTTGAGCCTTTTATCTCCTTTTCTTGGTCATTTTAGCTAGGGGTCCATCTATCTCGTTTATCCTTTCAAAGAATCTGCTTTTTGCTTCATTTTTTCTATGATATTTTTGCCTCTATGTCCTGTATTTAGGTTTTTACTTTGGCGATCTGAATTCTTCTGCTAAAGTTAGGGTTTTGGTGGTTTTGCCTGTTCCAGCTCCCTCAGGTGATTTGTTAAGCTGTTAACTAATGATCTTTTGTCTTTTGGATGTATGTTTATAGATATTTAAATTCCCACTATAAGTCCTGATTTCATGGCATCCCAGAGGCTTTGGTAACATGTTTCTTCATTTTCATTTGTATCCAGGAATCTTTTAATTTCTGTTTTGATTTCTGTGCTTACCC